AATCCTAGGAGCCAGGATCAAAGGCCTCTTAGACTATGGGGCTACTTGCAACTTCATCTCTCCCAAGGCAGTCAGCAAACTGCATCTGGATGGGAGATTGGTGAAGCTGAGAGAGCCACTTGAGGTCCGTATTGGGGACTCCACCACAGTCCAGATCACGACTGYTGTGAAAGGTCTCCCAGTGATCTTTGACAGACAGGAGAAGGTCAGGCATCGCCTGAACTTCTATGTGTTMCCTAACGTGCCTTTTGATCTTGTCTTCTCGATGCAGTGGCTTGAGGCCACCAATCCTAGGATTGACTGRCGTATTCCYAGGGTTGAGCTGTCTGACAGCAGGGGAGACTATCAGCCCTGTGTCCTAGCTGATGAGCATCATCCAGTCAGCARCTGTTACTGTATGAGGGCACATGAGTTTTATCAGCTCTCACGCCAGACTGACCACACTCGTSTRTTTGTCGCTTATGTGAAAYARACTGATGTGGTAGCTGCTCCTTGTCCCCCACCGATTCAGCAGGTTTTGGACCTGTTCCCTGATCTAATGCAGGAGCCTASTGGACTTGTCCATAGGYAGACTCAACACAGAATTRAACTGCTGCCAGGTTCGGTCCCTCCCAAGGGCCGAGTCTACAGGATGTCACCWGCTGAACTCGATGAGTTGAGGAGACAGCTTGAGACCCTGACCARCAAGGGGTGGATCAGACCCAGCACATCTGAGTTTGGGGCCCTTGTTCTCTTTGTTCCAAAGGGAAATGGAGAGTTCAGAATGTGCGTGGATTATAGAGGTCTCAACAAGATCACTAGGAAGTCTACAGAGCCCCTTCCTAGGATCGATGATCTGTTGGAKATGGTGCAGGGCYGCACGATCTTCAGCAAGATCGATCTCAAATCTGGTTACCACCCGATTGWGATGGCCGAARGCGATGTCCATAASAMAACYTTCAAGASCAGGTATGGGACATACGAGTACCTGGTCATGCCTTTCGGTCTCTGCAATGCCCCTGGCACTTTCCAAACAGAGATGCATCGCATACTCAGGCCTTACCTGGACAGGTTTGTGGTTGTATACCTGGATGATATCCTGGTRTTCAGTCGATCTGTCGAGGASCATGCRCAGCATCTGGCTCTTGTTCTCCAGGCGTTGCATGATGCCCAGTATAAGATCAAYAGGGAAAAGTCCTCCTTTGGAGTGACTTCTGTGACTTATCTGGGACATGTGATCTCTGGGGAAGGGTTAGCTCCTGAGGCAACGAAAGTTGCTGCGATTCAGGACTGGCCACARCCTGGTTCAGTACGTGATGTGCGGTCTTTCTTGGGTCTTGCATCCTATTACAGGAAGTTCGTCAGGAACTTCTCCTCTATCGCTGCACCCCTGACTGACCTAACAAAGAAAGACACTCCTTTTCTTTGGACATCAGACTGCCAGCTGTCTTTCACACGCCTCAAGGAGGCCTTGATGCGTGCCCCTGTTCTGAAGCTACCTGACCCTACATTGCCTTTTGTGCTCACTACTGATGCTAGCCAGTATGGAGTTGGGGCGGTACTTCAGCAGGATGGTGGGAATGGTCTGCAGCCTATCGAGTATATGAGCAAGAAGATCAAGGCAAAGAAGCTGCAGGATTCTACCTACGAGAAAGAGCTTTATGCTCTAGTGTCAGCGCTCAAGCATTGGAAACACTTCCTCCTGTGCAGGCACTTCAAGATCTTTTCAGATTACTCTACCCTACAGTGGATGAGGTCCCAGGGAGAGTTGAATGACAAGCTTGCGCGCTACATTTAGTTCATTGATCTGTTTGACTTTGAACTGAAGCACAAGAAGGGCTGCTACAATCRAGTAGCAGATGCCCTCTCTCGTAGGCCTGACGCTCAGTTCCTTATCTCCTTTACTCATACTTTTGGGGAGAGGACCCGTCAGACCATTCGTCAGTTGTTACCCCAGGACCCGATTTTTGGGCCTATTGTTAGGAATCTCCAGACTGATCCTTCATATGAACCAGGATATTCACTGGTCTCAGATCTGCTGTATATTCATAGCAGAGGAGAGGAGCGTCTGTGTATTCCTGAGGACAGCAAGCTCAGAACACTCATGATGTCTGAGTGTCATGATGCTCGCGGTCATTTTGGTGCCCTAAAATCGCTAGCGGCCCTGACTCAGAGATTCTACTGGAGAGAGATGCGGAGTGACATGCTGCGCTATGTTGAGACTTGTGAGTTGTGCCAGAGGTGTAAGGTTCAGCGTAGACCTCCCCTCGGCCTATTGCAGCCACTACCCATTCCTGAGGCACCTGCACAGTCAGTTGCTATTGATTTCACTGACTTGGGGAGGACTACTCCTCGTGGTATGCGTCAGATAATGGTATGTGTGAACCGCTTCTCCAAGTATGCAGAGTTCATCCCTCTTCCAGCAGAAGCCCGTGTTCCTGTCGTGCAGGCAGCGTTTGCTGACAAGTGGGTTACTCACCATGGACCACCCACCTCTATCGTCAGTGATCGAGATCCCCGATTCTCCAGCAATGAATGGCAGTCCTACTGTAAGGACTACCTTCATTCTAGACTGGACATGACATCTGGTCGTCATCCTGAAGCCAATGGTCAGGCTGAAGTRATGAACYAGATCTTATTTSAGCTGCTGSGTCCTGTGATCACTCCAGATCAGCAGGACTGGGATCTTCATCTTGGTCGGGCACAGCTAGTGTACAATACGTCTGTACACTCCTCCACAGGCTTTACTGCCTATCGTTTACACTGGGGACGTGAGCCTCGCCAGCCTCTCGATGACATCATCGACAAGGCTACTCCCAGGCTGACACCTGGAACTGCCGCATTCACCAGGCAATACAAGAAGGACATCGAGCGAGCCAGAGCTAACCTGCTCAAAGCCCAGACGACTATGATTCAGCAGGCTAACCGGCATCGTCGACCTTCTCCTATTCGAGCTGGTGACTGGGTGTGGGTTCTCAGTTCTGAGCTATCTAGAGAGGAGGACATTTCGCCCAAGCTGCTGCCGCGATATATGGGTCCGTGGCAGGTCTTAGATTCTGTGGGAGCAGATCCGTTCGGTCCCTCTTATACSGTTGTTGTTCCCCCTCATCTACAGACCTATCCTGTCTTTCATGCGTCCAAGCTGCTTCCTTTTACACCAGCTGACGCATTTCCTGACAGGCCTCCTCAATTCGGTCSCCCGATCCCTTGCAAGGGATATGAGSTGGAGTGTATTGAGGACGAGTACGGCACAGGTWCCGATCTGCAGTATCTTGTGAAGTTCCTGTACCATCCTCACACTGAGGATCGTTGGTACTATCKCAGAGAACTTCTCAAGACAGCAAAGTCAGTGGTCCTCAGATACGAGGCCACCAAGAAGGGACAGACCCTTCGCAGATCTGCACGGCTGCACCCATAGCTCGGAGGTCCTCGCTCCRGGGGAGGGTAGGCSTGCAATGACTTGCTGATTTCCACGAMCTGCGTCGKCKGCGAGGCTGTAACATAGTCGTGTGTTTTGCTGTATTTTTTGTTGTRKGYTGAGTGCTGACCGGTTCTAAAAATAACTGTACTAACACTCTAACAGCTACWAGGCCCTAAGTGGCCTACGCCCTCAGCTTCTGAGGGTACCGCTGTTCAKGCCCAGTGGGCCTATTTCGGTAGAGGACGACAGGCCTAAACCGAAACGGTACCGGTCTGTWAGGTGCTAGGSTAGTCTATTTAGGGAGTCTGGTCGTAGGGTCTAGGCTTTTTACTTTTTCATTTCGCGCGTCACGGTTGCAGGACAGCGGTGAGAGAGTGCTGCACTCGCTGCTTCAGGTTGTGGTGACTGCTGCAGGCGAGAGAGACGACAGCCATAGCCAGACCGACGGAGAGTTGACCTGCCGGGGTCATACTCTGTCCGCATAGTCTCTCTGAGAGTCTCTGCGGTCTGGGCTATCAGAGGTTATTGATGCAGACTCTGTGTGTGGTGGATACTCCCCTCCTCAGGAGTAGGGTGAGTGGGAAGAAGCAGCCATAGCTGCTTCTACTCAGAGATTTCATCGTCTGGACTTCATCTTCGTCAGAGACTGTTGGCGCTGGGCTTCTTCTTCATCCTCTGTGTGGCGCTTGGCTCTGGGAGCCTGTTTCATGTTGGCGCTGGCCTCTGGRAYCAGGATTTAGGTGGCGCTGKGTGTTTCARGGTTACTTGAGCTATTTTTAGCGGTTCTCAGTGGTTGGGGCTGAGGCGCTACCTCTCTGAGGGTAGCGCTACTTGTTTCTGAGGGTTTTCTGAGGAACGATTGCTCTGAGTTTAATAAACAGTTTGATAACTGTGTCGGACTATCATCTCATCATTGGTCTTCTGGTTGTGAGCATCTCGGTTGCCATTTATGAATGATTGTTGGGGATTCTGTGGAGAGAATTCACTATTTTGCGTATTCTGTCGCTCTGCTTCTCTGAGTCTTCCACTGTGTTTCATCTTCTGAGCGGTGTGACACTCCACTCCCTCTTCCCCTCTCCTGTGCATGTATGGGCGTGTATGGGAGTGTTCTGTGATTGAGCGGTGTGCAAATTGCATCGAACAAGCATGTTCGTAACATCTCTCTCTCTCTCTCTCTCTCTCTCTCTCTCTCTCTCTCTCTCTCTCTCNTCTTTGAACTCTCTTCATTTCTGTACTCTGGACTCTCTGCTGAGCTGGCTCTCTCTCTCTCTCTCTCTCTCTCTCTCTCTCTCTCTCTCTCTCTCTCTCTCTCTCTTTGCAATGACTTGCTGATTTCCATGACCTGCGTCGTCGGCGAGGCTGTAACATAGTCGTGTGTTTTGCTGTATTTTTTGTTGTGTGCTGAGTGCTGACCGGTTCTAAAAATAACTGTACTAACACTCTAACAGCTACACGGCCCTAAGTGGCCTACGCCCTCAGCTTCTGAGGGTACCGCTGTTCAGGCCCAGTGGGCCTATTTCGGTAGAGGACGACAGGCCTAAACCGAAACGGTACCGGTCTGTTAGGTGCTAGGGTAGTCTATTTAGGGAGTCTGGTCGTAGGGTCTAGGCTTTTTACTTTTTCATTTCGCGCGTCACGGTTGCAGGACAGCGGTGAGAGAGTGCTGCACTCGYTGCTTCAGGTCGTGGTGACTGCTGCAGGCGAGAGAGACGACAGCCATAGCCAGACCGACGAAGAGTTGACATGCCGGGGTCATACTTTGTCCGCATAGACTCTCTGAGAGTCTTTGCGGTCTGGGCTATCAGAGGTTATTGATGCAGACTCTGTGTGTGGTGGATACTCCCCTCCTCAGGAGTAGGGTGAGTGGCAAGAAGCAGCCATAGCTGCTTCTACGCTGAGATTTCATCGTCTGGACTTCATCTTCGTCAGAGACTGTTGTTGCTGGGCTTCTTCTTCATCCTCTGTGTGGCGCTTGGCTCTGGGAGCCTGTTTCATGTTGGCGCTGGCCTCTGGGACCAGGATTTAGGTGGCGCTGGGTGTTTCAAGGTTACTTGAGCTATTTTTAGCGGTTCTCAGTGGTTGGGGCTGAGGCGCTACCTCTCTGAGGGTAGCGCTACTTGTTTCTGAGGGTTTTCTGAGGAATGATTGCTTTGAGTTTAATAAACAGTTTGATAACTGTGTCGGACTATCATCTCATCATTGGTCTTCTGGTTGTGAGCATCTCGGTTGCCATTTATGAATGCTTGTTGGGGATTCTGTGGAGAGAATTYACTATTTTGYGTATTCTGTCGCTCTGCTTCTCTGAGTCTTCCACTGYGTTTCATCTTCTGAGCGGTGTGACACTCCACTCCCTCTTCCCCTCTCCTGTGCATGTATGGGCGTGTATGGGAGTGTTCTGTGATTSAGCGGTGTGCAAATTGCATCGAACAAGCATGCTCATAACAGTTGGTATYGGAGCTGGTTGGACCCAGACAGTGGCGAGATGATGAGTTGTCAGCACCTGGCATCATCTGGGAGCTTCTGAAGGCAAACTTCATGGCGATTTGTGCTCTTCAGTATTGCGATCAGTAGGGTGTCAGGGAGGAGTGTGTGGCGAGTGGAACTACACTGTGGTTGGTGGTGATTACATCCTCAGTGGCCTGGGAGGCACTGAGGGGCTAATTATAGCCTGGGTGAGTCATTCTGCAGTGGCGATATACCTTAGGGTATGTCGAGTTACAGATACTGGGCCAGATTCAAAGTATCTGCATAGTGGGGAATGAGTCATT